TTTTTCTTTCTTTCTTCTTTTGTTCAACAGCTTCGCAAGCTTTCCAAAAACTAAAGAAAATTGTTGGAATTCTACTTCTTTTATTTTTCTGGCACCGTGCACTGTACGCAATTCTCCATTTCGGCCGTATAGTCCTCGATCTGTAGGGTCGTCTCAAAGAAATTGTAACGCAAATGAACCGCTGAAGTGGCTGCGTCTAATATTTGTTTTGGGTTCGCATTGGCACCTAGACAGGATAGAGAGAGAGAGAGAGAGAGAGGGGGGGAAAGAGAGAGTGCAAGTTAGCATGAGTAGACAGACAGAAAGAGAGTTGTGGAGCAACGTTTGTTGATAACATTGATGGGTGCCACGTCGAAATTGGCCACGCTTAAAAAGCCATTTCAAAAATAATTAAGCTAATTGCGCGCGTTTGCCATGGACATGAAGAGATGCGCCTAACCCAACGGACAGCAGCAGCAGCAGCAGCCAGCAGTAGCAGCAACAACAACACCACCGAATCCATTGGGATAATTACCATGCAGAGCACACACACACACGCGCACACATACACTCACACACACACACGCGCACACACACAATACCACGTTAAAAACACATGTAGTAACCAGTTCCAACACTCTCACTCCCAGCGCCACACCCAGTACAGACAGTGCGCCGTCTCCTCTACCACCCACTACCGTCCCACGCCACGCCTCCTCCGACACTTTGTACAGCGCCCAGTGGTTTGTACATTTCGAGTCCCTGGGGCTACTCACCAATTGCCAAATGCGCAGATAGCGCTACTTTATTAATGCTCAGCGCCCAGATGCGCAAATTGTGAACGCGCTCAACGCCTTCAATGCTTTGGAATATTTGCAAGACCTCGGCATAGTGCATGTAATTTGGAGTGCCCTCCATGAGAACCTGAAAACAGAAATTAGTATAAACAAAACTAGTGAATGATTGCAATCCTAATTAGAACTTAAATTCAAATTATAAAACTTTAAAATAATAAATGGTTCAAATTAGAATTCATATTAAACTATCTGAAATTAGTTACATTTAAAGAAGTAGTAACTGAATGGAATATCAAATTATAATTATTAATAAATTAAAATTATAGCACCCGACAACAAGGCTCAATCGCATTTTATTTCAGCTGAAATGCAAAAGAATTTACTGGACATTTGT